AAATCTATGGCATCGATACCTCTTGGCGTTTCTGCGATCCTGATACAGATCTATACGCATCCGAAAATCGCACTGTCTACCGAACCTTCCTCGTAAAATTGGTGGACGACGAGCTGCTATCAGGATCACAGAAACGCGAGGAGGTTTGTAAATACGACTCTGCTCTTGCTGTTAGATAAACACGAATATTAAATCCATGGCATCGATACCTCTTGCCGTTTCTGCGGTCCTGATACAGATCTATACGCATCCGAAAATCGCACTGTCTACCGAACCTTCCTCGTAAAATTGGTGGACGACGAGCTGCTATCAGGATCACAGAAACGCGAGGAGGTTTGTAAATACGACTCTGCTCTTGCTATTAGATAAACACGAATGTCAATCCATGGCATCGATACCTCTTGCCGTTTCTGCAAACCTGATACAGATCTATACGCATCCGAAAATCGCACTGTCTACCGAACCTTCCTCGTAAAATTGGTGGACGACGAGCTGCTATCAGGATCACAGGAATGCGAGGAGGTTTGCAAATACGACTCTGCTCTTGCTATTAGATAAGTACGAGTATCAAATCCATGGCATCGATACATCTTGCCGTTTCTGCGATCCTGATACAGATCTACAGGCTTTCGAAAATCGCACTGTCTACCAGACTTTTGTCGTGAAGTTGGTGGACGAGGAGTTGTTATCAGGATCACAAAAACGCGAGGAGGGATGGGGATGGTAATCTACCATGCTATGATGTTGGCGCGAAATTTTGATCTTTGGCGTAGGTACTCCTAGTCATTTCTGCAATCCTAATACAAATCTATATGATTCATTGGGTAGATACTGGTGCACTCTGGGCGCCCCCCACCACTTCCACTTTTTGGCCACGCCCACCACATCCACCGCGTGCTCTGATTGGCGGATCAAACGGCGGGAAATTTGAACGGGGTTGATGGTATATGTTGATTGGCGGGAACCGCTAGATCCACCGCGTGCTCTGATTGGTGGATCAGACGGCGGGAAGTTTGAACGGGTTGATGGTATATGTTGATTGGCGGGCCCCGTTAGATAGCGCACCCGACCGGAAGTGATTCAGACAGCCGACGATAGTAAGGTGTAGTATAACGTCTATGCGTAAGCGATGTGACTCATTTCATGTTTTGCGGTAAATATTTGCATATAGATCGATAAAAGCCCATGAATAATGATATTTATAGATGCAATTCTGCTGATTCAGTTTAAATGGAAAAACGTATAAAATTCGCGGGAAACAATGCGTATAGGATGATCTCAATAATCAACACGTCATATTCAGTGTGCATATAAAAATGGAATTGCTCATATATGTGGTGCATACAGTTAATGTTAGTTAATTTTTAACATCGATACAATATTGAAAACATAGTACAGTCTATATTGTGTATCTAATAAATTCAACAAGGCAATCACCTACGTCGCAAATGAGGTTAGGTTCAGGGCAGGTGTTGTCGTAGCGGTGATATGCAAGAAGTACCGGGCGGGGCTGTTAAGCATGGGTGAATGGGCAGGAAGCGCAGGCTGTCAACGAGTTAATACTGACCAACGATAACAGCGGTGACCTTGAAACACTGTGGTCAGTTAAAAAGTGGTGGGGGTAAAATCGAGATTATAAATACCTATGAATCACCGCAAATTATCTTGTCAGTTATCTGCAGCGAACAGACGTGCTCAGTTCAGATTTAGTCGCTAGTTAACGTTTTAGTTTTTAAAAAATGGAAAAATTCTTCATCGTTAAGGATTCTACTAAGAAGATTAAAAAATTTAATCTATATGGGCGAGAAGTGGAATTTAAAATACGACCTATCCCTAAAGACGTCGAACCTGTGGGATGGATCAAAGACGCTCTGGAGGAAATAGTAGCCAAAGGAACTGAACATCTCCAGCCCAGTGATCAAGTTGGATTCACTTTCTGTTCCAAAGACTTTACCCGCGGTCAAGGATGGATAGCTTTTAAATTGTTTTCCGACGTTTCAACTGAGGACATATGGGAGAAGATATCTTCCATCTATCAGTCAAATTCTGTGGGGTTGAATACCGAGACTTTTTGCTTGGGTATTACGTCCGTAAGGTTGCCTGCTGGTCGTGGTAGAGCTCAGAATTTCAATACCTTTGATGAGGAATGCGCCAAAAGAAAAGGCATTATCACCGTTAAAAACACCGATAATTTGTGTCTCCCACGAGCCCTTGTCATCGCCATGGCCCATTTGAACAAAGACAAAGATTATAGCAGAATCCGCCGTGATCGAGGAAAAATACAAGGACAAAGAGCTGTACAACTTGTGGAAAAGGCTGATATTGTTATCCCTGAGGAGGGGTGTGGAATACCTGAACTTCAAAAGCTACAACGATATCTGCAAAACTACAAAATTGTTGTATACAAGTTTGGGTGCAAAGGTCGTGACGTCATTTTTGAAGGCGTGTCCGCTGGTCCGACGCTTAACCTAATATATCACGAGGGGCACTACAGCGTCATAACATCCCTCACTGCTGCCTTTTGCTGCAGCTTTTTTTGTGAGAACTGCCACATTCCGTATAATACTAAACAAATTCATAGATGTGATAAACAATGTTATGCTTGTAAAAGATCTCCGGCCTGCCTGAAAACGAAGCACATCAAATGCAAAGAATGTAATAGAAGCTTTTATGGACAAGAATGTTTTAACGCTCATTTACCATCGGTCTGTTCTAAAATTAAAAGATGTGTAGACTGTTTTAAAGTTCACAACGGTAATGATCACATCTGCGGATATATACTTTGTAAAACATGTTATAAAAATCAACCAATTGAACATATGTGCTATATACAGCCTGACAGAAGTATTCCTAAATCAAATGATGTCTTATTAATATTTTACGATTTGGAAACCCGTCAGGAGAAGGAATTACCCAATGGATCTTTACTGCATGAGCCAAATCTATGTGTATTCAAACAATGTTGTGAATCATGTACCGATAATCCTATATGCAAGAAATGTGGCCTTCGAATACAGATTCTTCGATGTCAAGACGTCATTTCTCCATTTATGCATCATATTCTGACACTTCGTAAAAAATTCAAGAAAGTCATTGTACTGGCGCATAATGGTGGAGGATTTGATCATCAGTTTCTACTTCGTTACATTTTAGAGAAGACTAGTCTGTACCCGAATGTAATTATGAGAGGAACAAAATTAATATTGATGGAGGTAGGAAATGTAAAATTTCTGGATTCTCTCAATTATTTTCCTATGCCTCTAACTGCTCTACCCAAGGCGTTTGATTTGAAAGAGCTAAAGAAAGGATACTTTCCACATTTATTCAACACTTTGGCTCATCAGAATTATGTAGGGCCAATTCCAGCGCTCGACTTCTACGATCCCGACCATTTAAAGGAAGACGCTCGGGAAAAATTATTAAAATGGCATGGCGAAAGACAAGCGGAGGGATACGTTTTTGATTTTCAGAAAGAAATCGTTGAATACTGTATCTCCGATGTGGAAATATTGACACAGGCGTGTCTCAAATTTCGAGACCTGATGAAAACCGAAACCACAGTCGATCCCTTCCAGGAAAGCACCACTATTGCATCATGCTGTAACAAAGTCTTTAGACGCAATTTTTTAAAACCTGAGACGATCGGGGTAATTCCAAAAGGGGGCTATAGATGGCGTGAAAATCAGTCAAAAATTGCCATCCAATGGCTGTTGTGGGAGGAACATCAAAGAGGAATCAAAATTCAACACGCCGCTAAGGGTATAGAAACCATAGTTAAGGGACATAAAGTAGACGGTTTTTGTAGCGACACAAATCAAGTGTTTGAATTCCAAGGATGCTATTTTCACGGTTGCCCTCGATGTTTCAAATACAAAAGAAGCAATCCTCTGCATAATGATCCGTTGAATACATTGGAAAGTCGATACGAACAATCAGTTAGCAAAGTAGAGAGACTCCGAAGCCTTGGACTAGAAGTAATTGAGATATGGGAATGTCAATTTCGAGGAATGCTAAACGATGAAATTAGAGCCTTCACAGAAGCACATCCATTGATAATCAATTTACCGATTAACCCCAGAGACGCTCTCTACGGGGGACGTACAGAAAATATCGTTGAATACTACAAGATCAAAACAAATGAATGCATAAAATATGTCGATATATGTTCCCTGTACCCCTTCATCTGTAAATATGGAAAATTTCCGGTGGGTCATCCAAAAAAAATTTACGTAGGTGAAGAATGTGTTACAGCCTCTCTGTCGCAGATGTCAGGACTTATTAAATGCCAGATTCTACCGAACCAGAACTTATATCCCCGTTTTACCGTCAAAAATGAACAACAAATTGATGTTTGTTAACTGTCAAAAATGTGGTGAAGATTTCGTTCGAGAAGAGTGTCAGCATTCTATTCAAGAAAGAAGCCTAAAAGGAACTTGGGTGATAGAAGAGGTGCTCAAAGCTATTGAAAAAGGTTACCAGATTATAGAGACTTACGAAATATGGGAATACGATACAATTCAGCTCAGTAAAGACCAAGAGGGGTTATTTAGCGGAATGATGAACAAGTTTCTACAAATAAAACAACAAGCTTCAGGATGGCCCAAACATTGCTTAACGGATGAAGAAAAAAACCGTTATATTGATGCATTTTTGGATAGAGAAGACATAAAGCTGGAATTTTCAAAAATTATAGAGAACCCCTGTTTGAGATCGTTAGCTAAACTTATGCTGAATTCCTTTTGGGGTAAATTTGCTCAAAAAGAAAACCAAAACAAAACCTCAATAGTCAGAGACTGTGGTGAATTCTTTGATATGCTGACTAATCCTTCTATTCATGTAAATACAGTTCTCCCGGTAAACGAAGAAACCCTTCTCATAACTTGGGAATTTAGAGAAGAGGCCTATGACGTTTCTTCAACGGTTAACGTTGTATTGGCTTCATATGTCACGGCCCTAGCTAGACTAAAATTATATTCATTCTTGGAGAAAGTGGAAGAAAGGGCAGTTTACGTAGATACAGATTCATGTATTTATATCTCTCGTAAGGGATTAGACGACATATCTACAGGCGACTTCATAGGTGATATGACCGATGAGCTCAATGGGGGTTTCATATCAGAGTTTGTTTCTGGAGGACCTAAGAACTACGCCTACAAATTACTACTTTGTCTGGAGAGGAACAGATCGTATGTAAAGTAAAAGGCATATCACTCAACTACAAGGCATCCCAAGTAGTCAATTTTGAGAAAATAAAAGACATGGTGCTGAAGAAATCTGATCCTGTTTCTGTACTTTCTCGACAGCTACGACGTACAAGAGAGCATGCAGTAGTAACAGTCGAGTTTCCTAAGGTATACAAGATAACTTCAATGAAAAGGAAATTCTATGAAGATCATACCTCTGTACCATTTGGATTTAAGAAAATAAAGTATTGATTTATTAATGTATGTAAATATTTTTTAATAAACATGTAAAATAAAATGTATGCAAATGATTTTTTGTTTTTTATTTCCCGCCTAATTGAAAAATATTTTTGCACCCGAAATTGTTCAGCCTTTTTACTCCATATAAAATATTTAAAAGTATGCATTGTTATTATTAAACGCCTGCAGTAATATACACCAAAAAAATTGAGAAGCAGTGTAACCATGTGGAACTTTGTATAATCACAAAAAAACATATCTTGGAAAATAAAAAATACAGCACTGTACTGCACGGGCACGAAAAATTGAGAAGCATGATAACCATGTAGAACTTCGTATCACTACGTAAATGGTTATTACGAAAAGTAGAAATAAAAACTATATTTTCGATAATAGCTATACTATTTTTTATGAGCACCGAAAAAATTGAGAAGCACGATAACCTCATAGAACTTCGAAACAGCACCAGAGACAACCGAAGGCTACAGAAAAAAACACATACTGAAAAGGCATAACATCTATCAGCGCTGGTATCCGATAATACTGTTTCCTTTGACATTCGTTGGGATATGAAAACACATATTTGCTTCCCACCGTTATAACGGAAATAATAGTTACTGCAAAAGCAGTTTCACGATAAGACCATACATTAATCTACAAAGTTGATAATAAAACATATGTACTATTAAAATGCAGATATTTTTAAATTATACAATTAAAAAATCAAAATAATATTTATAAATGGTAGGGGATACAGGGTAAACACCGAAATATACTTAATTTAGAATAGTTACTTATAATCTCCTCAGTTCTTTGGTCAGCCGTATCGACAATTTACCGGTGGATCCTCTATTTTTGTGCATGTAAAAGGTTAGACTATGGCGCTAGCAAAAAAAAACAAAATGCAACAAAGTAGAGTCACTTAATATTCTTGTTGAAATTACGGATAGAATATGGTAGAAAGTAACAATCAGATATTGTAGAAGCCATGTAATTGTTTAATTGTTGAGGAAAAAGTATTTTTCATACGCTGACCATGTTTATGTCCGCTTGGTACGCGACCAGATCTTTTCCAAACCTTTGCCCGTAGGGTTCATGAGCCTACGACCAAATGTGTCGTCGAAGGGGCATTTTTGGGCAAATTCGGTCGAAACCGATGCTGCGTTCGTACCCTAGAGCCTACGAACAGTGACTCAAACTTAATTTTAATTGATATGCAAAGATCTGGCTAGAATGCTTGAGCTAGTGATTATATGCAATTTATCGGTGACGAGCTTTCCTCTAGCATATCTTGATTTATTCAAGCGAATCAATGAGAAACTAGTGAATAAAATTACCTGACAGCCATAGTACAAGTTGGTATATCTACACCTTCTCTTACATTTGGCGCCACTAAAATGTTAATCTCCTTGTTTCTAAAAACGATCAAGTACTTATCTGTTCTTCTTATTAATCGGAAGTGATTCTACGGTGCTATTAAAAGAGTTTCCGTTATATCCCACAACGAAATCCGGCTTTATATGTCTGAACTCTGGTACATGTTCACTCAAATCTTTCAGTACATGGTGCAATATTTTTGGCAGTTGATCTTTCCTTCGTGAATATTAAACCACAAATGTCTTCGTTTGAAGATGAACTGTTGAAAAGTGTTACGTTTATATTAGTATTAATATTTATGACATTTACTTTTTTAAAATAGTTAAATACTACGATAAACTGGGAATGTGGGATGAAGCAGAAATGTTTCTGTAACCCAATTTAGGTATGTATAGCAAGTCTTACGCAAGACAATAATAAAAACAGATAGAATTCGAGGGCGATTCTTGGAAGAAAAATTCATAGTATTTCTAAGGCAACACCGACCGGAGTGCTATAATTTTAGCATACATTTACAGGTTATAGGTCTAATGATAAATAGAAAGTGATTAAAATTTTAACTTCAATTTTCGTAAAATAGCTGAGATATGCCATCTTGCAGTAGCCTGAAATGAAATACCCGACAGGTTACCCATCACCTGATAGTCTGTGGTTCTCGCCGCTAGATGACGCTTCATACAAACGTCATCTGTCAAACGTTATGTGTATCATTGATAAGTGTGAGTTGTGTCTCTAAGCGCTAGATGGTGTCGATGTCGCACTGGTGTCGTAGAGTGACCCACATACAGGGGTCGATAGAAATTTTTGGGGCCCTACCGACGGGTCGATGAACCGACGGTATAACGTCAGATCGAAATAAGCTCCATTCACATGGGAGGTGTGTGTGGAATTGCTCGTGGGAGACACGGACCTTGTCGTATATAGCAAGACGTGTCCTAAAATGGTGATACCCATTGGTCGCTCAGCCATACAGGTCGGTCAGACAGAAGTTTTTGGGACCGGGGTGCTCTGATTGGTGGATCAGACGGCGGGAAATTTGAACGGTGTTGATGGTATAGCTGAATGGTGGACGGCGGGGTCGGGTGCGTTGGTAATCACCTATGTCGCAAATGAGGTTAGATAGATAGTCGTTCAGTGAAGGTGTTGTCGTAGCGTGATATGCAAGAAGTACTGCTCGCGGGGGTGTCAACGAGTTAATATTGGCCAACGATAACAGCGGTGACCCTGGAACACTGTTGTCACACGGTTGCAAAAGATGACAGGTTATCTCTTAATTTTCGTAAACAACGATTTTTCTAAAGTGGTAAAAACAGGTCGAAATTTTAAATACCTATGAATCACCGCAAATTATCTTGTCAGTTATCTGCTGCGAACAAAACATGCTCAGCTCAGACTTATCTAAAAAGTGGTGGGAAAATCGATATTATAAAAATATTTATGAATCACCGCAAATTCTCTTAGACGTGCTCTTATCAGTTCAGACTTAGTTAAAACTGGTGGGTAAAATCGAGATTATAAATACCTATGAATCACCGCAAATTACCTTGTCAGTTATCTGCAGTGAACAGACGTGCTCAGTTCAGACTTAGCAATTCCCAACGCTCCTCCGTGGCCATTCCCCTTACCCTCTCGCGAGTGCGCGCATGCGCATGCGGCTCGTTCTGGTCTATAGACATATGATCGCTAATGATCTTGAACAAAGATGTCCTGATACACGAACCGCCAGAGGTACATCAGAAGTAATGTTAGTATTGTGTGTGCGTGTTTTTTGAACACGCTAAGTCGTGATGTACATCACGTGACGTACGTCACGTGACCTACGTGACGTGCGTGTGACAGGTGACGTACGTGTGACAGGTGACGTGCGTCACGTGACACGTGACGCACGTGGCACGTGACGTGCGTCACGTGACACTTGACGCACGTGGCGTACGTCACGTGACACGTGACGTGCACACTTTGTTCAAAAATACCAAAAAGCTGTCTTGATAGCCCGAACCGCCAGAGGTACAACATCAGAAGTAAT